TGGTACATTTTCCCTGCAGAACATCCCTGACATGTTTTTTGGCTAGAATGAATTAGCATTCCATTATCATTAGGTGGAAATAATAAATTCAAGAACCAGTGCATACAAAAAAGGGTGTGAGGTTTGAATAGCATTTTACAATTAATCATTGGAGGCATTTTGGCACCTCATTTTTATGAAGAAGCAAAACTGTGAAAACTTACTAGTGTCTGCTATTTATCCACATGCTGTATATTCATAAACAATGGGAGAGGTACTATTGTAACACAAATTCATCCATTCAGCAGTCTTTGAACACGTATTCTGTGCTGGTCATTCTGATAGGCCTTGAGGATATACAGTGACGTTTCAACTAAAGCCAGTGAAACTTGTGGTATAAAAATCCTGTAAGTCATCAGTAGAGTACGATATACATGGTTCTGTGTATAAAATGCAATCTATAATTACTTTTCTCAATAAAATTAAGCTACATGAAGGGGAAACATGGAATAATGGAATATATGCAAGTGTGTGACTATTTAAAACATTCAGGCTTTTGGCCCTAAAGTTTAGAGAATTATCAAATCTCTAGCTACAAAAAGTATGAGTGAAGCACTTTACATTTTTCTTCTTGCCCACAACATTTATTCCATTTTATTTCACATTTCAATATCAAGACTACTAATGCCTGTTAATACATATTTTTTTTGAGGTTTATACATTGCAGCAGTATCCCATTTTGGGGGGGAGGATTAAAGTGTAAAGTCATTGGGATGAATATGCTTATATTGGACCCATCTTGAAGGTATTAATCATTGCTCATAAATTTATTTTTAACTGGGTAATGTTTATGGTTTCAGCTGAGCTTTATTATGTGATCACAAATAACTGTGGGTCAGGAAGGCAATTGTGTTGCTCTTCATTGGGTGTACTCACATAGTTGAGGTCAAGTGATTGAAGATGGTCTCATCTAGAAAACCTGAGTGCTCTTTTCCTTCACATGGTGATGACAGGGTTCTGAGACACACAGACTAGAAAGGGAGTCCTCACTTCCACCAAATTCTGTTAACCAAAGCAGTCGCCAGCTGGTGTTGCACGAGAGTAGAAGGGAACTACCATGTTACCAAGTAAAGGGGATCATCATTGGAAGTCATCAATGCCAGAGCAGTCCATCTGCCCACCCCTAAACAGCTGAGCAAGCTGATCCTGTGCCATACTGAGCACATGCACCAAGGTTTGTAAAAGTACTGAAGTCAAGAACCCCTTATATTTTCTTAGAGCAAAGAGAACAGCTAACTAACTGACTCCTTTCAAAAGAGTAAAAAAAAAAAAAAAAGTCATTGCAAGTCATTGCATGTCCCTTTCTTCCATACAGTCGAAGAGCTAATGTTGTCTGCCTTTAAATATTTTTAATTTATTGTTGATTGGTGTTTTTTCTTTTGGCACTATTAATCTTTTTGCCTAAAACACCTAGGACCAATTTCTGCATAATATAATAAGCCACAGTAAATACACAGTCCCATAGCCTACAAAAATCTTAAATCAAGAAAAAGCAAGTGTAAAAGATTAACCTTGAAGCTAAAACCAAAGTTGATTTTTTGTTCTTCTCTGGAATTCTGTGATAGCATACATGTTCTCAAAGGAACATCTTGTGACAGCTGCCACGAGGACTGAATGACATGGTACTGCCATGTTTAAGTGTAAAATAAATGGGTAATTTGAGGGGTAAATTTTTTTTAATGGGACATCTTTTCATAGACCTTAATGTCTCATTTGAAATTGTCTATATTCTGGAAGAAAGAGGAATATCAACTGAGCAATGAAGGATAATTTTAAGGACATGAGAATAATTGTGGGACACTGAGGCTAAGTGATCAAGAGCTAGAGAGAATTACTCCAGTGCAACCAGAAAAAGGCTCAAGTAAGAACTGGCATTGGCATTTCATGGAAAATCCATCAGGGACTTCCTGAAGGACCAGGCAACAGAAAACAATGCATCACCTAGGACCGCCAACAATACCCAACAGGGTTGTATCTTGTTACTCCAGCACTTCTGATTCTGGAGGTGAATTTTACCTTGTAAACTTCTGACAACACTGCTTCTACACTTATAAACTGTGAGACATGACAGTATATAACCTCATTAGTCATATACTTGATTGTGATCAAAGCAATATAAATACTTCTTGACTAAACCACATTAAACAATAAACCAAAGAGTATTTCTTCCAGTCTTTGAATACTCATATTCAAAATTTGTTCTCTCCTGAATCCTGGTGGTATGATTCAAACATTTTGCCAGAATTTGGCAATAAAATTTATATTGGCCTATTTTTGGCAAAATAATTAAATTTGTCTAAATTTGGCAATAGAATATTTTGGCTTAGTTTTGTCCACAATACAATGTTTTATTTTAATTGTTCTGTTGTAATACATATTTTATATGTATAATACATAACTTTAAAAATTTGCATGTAAGACTTATTTTAAAAAGGCAAGTTTAATTTATTCCACCCTGTCACCTAACTACTTAGATTTCCTCCCCAGAGAAACTCTGTCAACATCCATCAGATGGTTTTTATAAACTCAAATAACATAACATATACACAGGACTCCCTTGCTTTTTTCACTTAAAATGATCTTGGAGATTATTATAATCTCACTATAGAATGCTTTATTAATTATAATATATTTGTAATAATACATTGGATGCATCATTATTTATTTATTTTATTGAATTACTATTGGTGTACATTTTAGTGGGGGTTTTTTTGTTTTTTGTTTTTTAAGAAATTTCCCTTATTGATTTTAGGAAAAGAGGAAGTGAGAAGGAGAGAGAGAAAAACATTAATGAGAGAGAACGTTGATTGGCTGCCTTCTGCATGCCCCCCACTGGGGATAGGGCACAAAACCTGGTCATGTATCCTGATCGGGAATATAACTGGCGACCTCTTGGTGCATGGGTTGACGCTCAACCACTGAGCCACACAGGCTGAACACATTTTAATTTTTTTTTTAAAGTCTAAATTAGTAGGAGCCAGTGGCCATGATGCTGAATTTCTTTTTTAGCAAAATCTTGGATGAGTTTCTCTCACATGCTGACCAAGCCCTACTTTTCAGAATCTAGATGAAAGTTCCTAATAAAATTTACTATTTTTTTAAGGCAAACTGAAACATACCTTTATCTTTGTTCTGTTTTTTTGTTTTTGTTTTTAAAATCTTTTTTTTATTTTCTCACCTCATATTTTCTTATGCTCTTTGCTGAAAATTCATCCCTTCTTAATTTTCACCAATTGTCAGTGTTCTTCCTGTTAAAATCCAACTGTCAAATTCCATTTGCTTCTCTAAGATTTTCACCATGGCCCCTATCACCACAGAGTAGAATGTGATTCTCTTTTCATTCAATTACTTTAGAGACATATTTTAACTCCTTGTCATCTTGAATCATCATTATATTAATGCTTGCTTCATCTCCTTTGCCAGATTCTATGCCCATCAAGAGTAGTGATGTATACAACATAGGACCATCCTTCTGAGAACTACCAGAGGGACTTTTATCTATTTGTGCTTAATAAATATGTGTTGTATAATTATATCTTCAGAGTGTGATTCCACTAGATTCTGCTAAATTATAATAGGACACTGAACTAGGGGTCAGTAGCTATGAGCCTTAGTCCTGGCTCTGAAATCGCTATTGGGTATTTATTAGATGGATTATTTGAACTCTTAAAACATTTGTATTTTAAATGGGAATATAATATCTGGATTATCTGTATCACTGCTCATTGTGAGATTGAAATGAAATAGTGGTTTTATAAGAAAAATCTCAGCATTAGAAAAAAAAAATCAAAAGTCTCATAGTCCAATCACCTATACATTGCTCAAAATTTCTATATATCAACTTCTCTGCAAGTAAACTATAAATTTATACATTAAAATTTCTAGAGGCATAGAAGTCTCAATCAATAGAGAAGTCCATTTTAGGTTATGCCATTCTGAATATTATGAATAAGAGTGGCTGTGCAGTGAAATCCATATTATGCCACTTAAATACAAGTTTGTTATATCTATTTGGTGATTGGCTCCCAATCTCTGGTGTAGGCTTTCTTTGGTCATTTCATTAATGTATAAATAATACAACCTCATATGTTACAGGATTAGATTGTTTGGACCACACTGATAGTGTTATTGCAGGATTTTAAAATATAAACTAAGCCTCACAATGATTGAAGGAGATATAAAAAGCATTTTGAAACTTTCTGGCATTCTATAGTGTATTTAGTACCTGGAGTACATGGAGTTGTCCTAGATAGAATGTTACATAATAAGCAAGTCTCACCATTATTAACTAATAGCATTATTAAAAAGCTAATAGCATTATTAACTGTTATAAAGCCTCAGTCATATTTTTCTTCCTCACTGTACTTAGAGCATAAAGAAGAAATATGATGAACTATTTTTGTTAAAACAAATGATGAACTATTAAAACTTACATTTTCTGAACATGTTCTATACAAAGATAAAACTAATTTATATATATATCCATTTCAGATTTAACTATATATTCAGTTGAAAAAATAGTTGTAAGACTAAGCTGTTCGGTAATTTTCTACTATATTATACCTGGGCCAGAACTGGCTGCCTTCACTCCTTATGTGTATTTATGTGTATCTCTCTTTATCAGAAATAATAGGCACTTGGAATAACCTTCTAAAATGTTAAAAATGTAAGGTGTTCAATGAATATCTAGAAAACATAAAAATCTGTAGCATCATTGTAGCAGAAATACAAATGCAATACATAATCCAAAAAAAGTTCCACTTTGCCACGTGAACATTCTTACATTTTTGTCACTCTATACATATGCCTTCCAGTCTCTTCTTTATTAATGGTATATAATGGGGCAACTCAAAAGATCCCAAACAGTTAAGAATATTTCAGCCTTTCAATACCTGAAATTTCAACCGAGAAGCTGTTGAGTACATAGTGAGACATACTTAATGAAAGTGAAGGAAACTTACCTTCCGTGTGCACAGCTGACACATAGGTCCAGTTGTACCTCTTCACTATGTCCACCATTGCCCGAGCCTGCTGGGCATCTGAAGGCACAACCCTCATGAAGTACTTGAACAGAGTTTTGTCACTCAGATCCATGCTTGTTGCTGAGTAAGCAATCTGAGGTATGTTGAAAAGCTGGAGCAGGTTCTGGACCTGAATGGCCACAGAACTGGAGCCAGGCCCAATGACACCTACTATGGGCTTCTTGGCGCGGAAGGAGGAAGAGCCATCCACACAGCGCACCAAACCTTCTTCTTCATCTGAAGAAATGAGGGAGTCCCTTATGAACTCAATGCTCTGTTCTAGGGCCACAGCCGAGTGCCAGCAGGAATCCCTTATCTCACAGCCCAGTGTGATGTTGGGCAAGAGCGTGGGGTCAGAGTTGATCCTTTCCAGGGTGTGCAGCATGGCCTCCACTCTCTGAATGCCATACTGTTCACGAACAGCTCCACATTTCCTCTCGTGAACTTTGTCCACAGTGGGCTGGTGGTGGACAGAAAACAGAGCTCCGATAATGATGTCACCCGGCATGTGAGCCACCACCCTCCTCTCGCTAGACTGTGCACTCCCACGGACATCTTCTTTCAAAAGCAGGACTGACAAGATCAACAGAAGGACCATTTTAGGAACAGAGTTCAAGCTAAAAAGATAGCATGGTGGGGAAATTTTAGGAGAGTTCTGATAGATAGAATCAAACAATGTCCTATGTTGAGTGGCAAAACAAAAACTTAGCCAATAATTTAGATGTGGTCTCTAAAGGACCAACATGTCCCCAGGTACCATGTATTCAGATGATTCCACGTGATCATGATCTTCAAAACCTGGAGAAAAAAATAAAATAGCACAGATATTCAACAGTATAAGGGCCACTAGTATGGAAAGCTCTAATGGTTTACGTTATTGGAGAAAGAAAGGACTTTCTAATGATGTAAATAACTTGAAAATAAAAAGTAATACAAAAATTTTTCTGACTATCCTCTGTCTGTCTCCTGAGTGAATTTTATGATGTGCTGAAGCAGCTGACTTAGCTTCTTCATCCTACTTTGCTTAGATTAATGTTTTGCTTTGTATTTTGTTTTGTTTTGTTTTTTACATTTGTTCATCTGGAGTACAGAAAACTAAATCTTACCTGTAGCAAGTTGAACCATGTTTTCATGTGGGGGTGAGAAAAAGCATCTTAAAAGAAAACTATGTCCTGAACAGAAAACCTTAGGGAATATGAACCCCAAAATATTAGACATTAATGATAGCTGGGTGATGGTGTTTTTGTTTTAGAAATGCTTTTCCCCCCAAATTTTCAACAAGGAGCATGTATTAAATATGCAATTATAAAAATAAAATTACTTAAAGAAAGCCTATATACCCCTTCTTCAAATGCAATGTAAAACAAGTTGAATAATTTTCCCAATAAATCAGTGTTTTGTCTATTTACCATATATGATAGAACAAAGACGAATATGGATATTTCCAAGTTAAATGCACTATAGGAGAGAAGGAAGAAGGTTGAGATATTAGAGACTAAAATGTCTCACATATAGGCAGCAAGCATAGTGACAAGAGCATCAATTTTGGGGGAAAACATTCAAGTTTAAATTCCAGTTCTTCTATCAAGAAGTATTAAGAAACTGTTTAACCTCTCAGTACTAGAATTTCCTCATCTGAAAAATGGGGATATTATATGTTAGGCAGCCCTCATGGGAATCAACATAAGATATCAACTATGCAAATGTTTTATATATTGTATAGGGCTGTACATATTTAAAACATAATCTTTTCTGTTAGTAAATTTCCAAGGACACTCTGGCTAGGTGGTGAGGAACACAAAATTCTCTGGCAACCCACTTGGTCCCCCAGAGTTTTCAAAGTATTTACAGAGTCTTGCAATAAAATTCACAGTAATCAGTCTTCTAGCTTTGATTCAGGAACAACAACAACAACAAAAATGTCCACATCGGAAAGACTCAGAGAATGAATGTTTGTACTATCCACCTAAGTAGAAACTTTGTATAGCTATGAAGATAGTCATTACTTCAGTTTAAACTCCTGGGAAGAAGAAAAAAAATTCCCAAGTTGCCTACAGCAAATTCTAGCACCATTTGTAAAAGGGAACTGACAAATTAATGATCTGGGTCATTTAAAGGATTGTGTGAGATACTTATTTCTAACTCCCTATGCACCACCTTTCACAGACAGGTGATGTTTCTTCAGGAATTTAAGTGATTATGATGGTTCTTCAAGAGTACTAATGGTTTTCAAACTAATCAGATCTGCAAAAATTCTAGCCCAGATACAAAATGAATGTAACCTGAACCACATTTCTCATCACTCTCACCTCATTGTCATTGTTTCTTCTACTGTTTCCTATGGCAATAAAGAAAGGCTCCCTCTGTATAGTGCCAAACACTAAACAAATAAACAATAAACATCTCAAATAAGCAGGTGTTCCAGAATAACTAGGTATGTGGCAATATTTAGGAGGAAAAATGTTAATTTTTTATTTGAACATTATCTGAATACTCTCAAGCTTTCCCTTCATTTTGCTTAGACCAAAGATCTGGAACCAATGCTTATTCTCATGATCATGTGAATTCTACTACAGACAAAAAGAAAAATCAGAAGTACAAGGAATCACAATTTCTCATTAAATCCAGAATATTAGTGAGCAAACTCAATAACAAAACAGGGCTTGTTTTCATTACATAAGAGCATCAAAGTGACATGAAAGACTAGAACTCGCCCATCAAACTGATGGAAATAAAATATCAGTCCCATGCATTTTATTTGTTGGATCTATTTTAGGCAAACCCTATGTATTGAGACATGGTGTGTATACATGATTAATAAAAATTAGATTAACATTTATATATTTTATATATTACATATGCCCACACTGAAATATTGTTTTCCTATTACAGCTAAATGAATTACTTAACTCTATGAACAATATCTATTAACTACTGAGTGCGAGAGACTAATATAACAAAGACGTGCAATGATGTACATTGATAATTACCATTATTGTCTTTTGTTGAGTACCCATTATGCACAGGCATTTATTCTATGACTCATATAACAAATATGTATGATTCTCTCCTGAGAATTAAATATTCACGAGAGAACAAGGTATACATGTTTCCTATACTCATTGGGCTTACAGATCAGTGCCCTAAAGATGATTTTAGCTGGAACCTGATGAATGCAAAGAAAAATAAAATGAAGGATAAAAACTTTTGTCAGGTGAAAATGTGGCAGAAGTACAAAAAAAATGAGAGAGTTCATGGTACAAGATGAGGTTGGAAAGCTAATAAAGGGCCAGACTATGCAGGATCTTGTGGGCTCTTAAAATACAATTTGAATATTAAGTGCAACAGAAAGCCATTAGGAGATGTACACACATGATTGGTGTGATTCAATGTTAGAAAATATTGTTTTAGCTGCTCCCTGTTCTAGATGATGGACTAGAAAAATTGAATTAGGAGACTCATAATAATCTAGGTAAGGATGATTGTGGCTTGGCTATGATTGGTTAGAGTAGATATAGAGAGAAGTAGACACAATCAGATATATTTTGCAAGTAAAATGAACTGGACTTTCTGATGGACTAAATGTAGATAGTAAGGGAAAGAAGGATCAGGTTCTTCTCCTAGATTTTAAGTAAAAAAAAAAAAAAAAAAAAAAAAAAAACATTAGTGTATTTTGGTACCATTAAAAGAAATGGAATAGACTGGTACAGAAACAGAGGGGCACACAGGAAAACTTAATAATTTTCTTTTGAACATGTTAAATTTGAGATGTTTTGAAGCATCCAGGTACAGGTGTCAAACAGGAAGGCAAATATGTGAGGTGGACCTAGGGGACCATTTTGGGTAGGAGATGTAAATTGTTCCCAGTAAATAAAATCTTTGGAATGAATACAACCACCTGAAGAGCAAGTATAAATAAAGAAAAGTGGGGCTGCAAAGTGAGTTCCCCAGAGGTCAGGTTGTGGAAAAGCCAGCTAAGGAAATGGAGATAATTCAGAAAGTAAGGAAAGAAAGTGAGAACATGTGATGTCAGAGAAGCCGAAAGAGAATGTCCTTTAATATTTACAGACCTAAGCAAGGCTTTCATGTTGCAGAGCATAAAATATTCCTCATTCCCCCAGCAAATATTACTCAATGGGCATTGTATATCTGTGCCTGTGTGTAGGGGTGTCTCTGTGTTTCTGGTGTGTGGGTGTCGATAATCCTAACTGCACTGAAATGTCGATATTATTTTATTATCTCTACAGATGTAGTGGGTTTTGATAAGATAAAAACTAGCCAATTATTTAAAAAGTGATGGAGCTGGAATTCATGTATCAGCTTAGTGTTATCTCTTGCTGCCTTACTGGCCCCTTCCTTCAAAAGAGGGATTTATAAAGTTCATGTAAAATGAGAGGGGCCACCTACAGCCAATTTGAACTATTTCCTAGGGATATAGATACTTATAGGAGTTTCCTTGAAAACTAGAGAAGAGCATTCCAGGAAAAGAGAGGATTCAGCACATAGAAACTACAAATAGTATGATTATCTAGTACTACTGCATGCACAATGCCTGGCAGCCCCCACTAGATTATGGCCCACCAGATTATAAAGCAATGCCTGCTTCCTAATCGGCCTTGGATACACACAATGGCTATATTTTATTCATATTAGTTATGAAGCTCAGATACCTGAAAAATATATTTAGAAATAAATTATGACTTACAATTTAGACAGAACTGTGCTACAACTCAGCTCATTATAAGGTTAAACAAATCATTCCATGTGCTTCCAAAATACAAGAAATCAACTTCCGGTCAAGATGGTGGCATAGGTAAATGGTATCACGTCCTCCCACAACCACATCAAAGTTACAACTAAACTACAGAACCATCATTCAGAACCACCTGAAATCAAGCTGAATGGAAGTCCTACAACTACAGAATTAAAGAAGTAGCCACGTGGAGACTGGTAGGAGGGGTGGAGGCAGAAGGTCTGGTCCCACATCCACATGTGGTGAATAAAAATCAGGAGGATACCTCGGCTAGGAAGGTCCTCCCTGAGGACTGAGGGGTCCCTGTCCCACACCAGGCACCCCACTCAGGGTTCCAGTACTAGGAAGAGAAGTCCCCATGACTTCTGGCTGGAAAAACCAGCGGGAGCTGAGGCTGAGGTGGCTGGACCCCCAGGCAGCTCCTCCTAAAGGGCTCGCATGCAGACTTATCGGACTCACTCCCTCTAAGCTTGGACAGGAGGCAGCTCGAGGTGTGCCAGAGACATACAGGGGAGAACTGAACTGTTTGGCACTGGAGCGAGGGCTGGAGAGGGGGCTTTCACCAGGACAAATGTGCTGTCAGAAGCCTTTGTTCCTTTGGTGAGCCCTTCCCTGGGGTGGCAGAGAGCTGCCATATCTGGGACTCCAACAACTTAGTTCACACTTGTAGCCCTGCCCTGGTGATTCCCTGAGGCCCTGCCCCACCCAACTTTCAGGCCCACCCAAGCTGTTGCAAGTTGCTTAACCATAGGATTAGCCTGTCTTGGATCCTGCTTCAGGTTTTCCTAAATTCTTTCAAACACGCAGCATCTGGTATCAGATAGCCCCATACCTCTCATTAAGTAATACACAGAAACAAATACAGGGAGGCAGCCAAAATGAGGAGACAAAGAAACAGATCCCAAATGAAAGAACAGAACAAAACCCCAGGAAAAGAATTAAGCGAAGTGGAGATAAGCAACCTAACAGATGCTGAGTTCAAAATACTGCTTTTAAGGATGCTCAATGAACTTAGTGAGAACCTCAGTGAACTTAGTGAGGGCCT